GTGTTCCAGGAATAGTCCTGGGTGATACAGTGAATGAGTCTGTCATCTTCAGCTTATCATGGAAGTGTAATTCTTCCTCCATCAGTTAATGGTGGCACAAGCATTCTATTCAAAGCGTAGTGTAGAGGCAGCCTGTGTAGTGTTTTGTAAATGTGAAAGCATTGGAAAGTACACACTGTTTCGCTATGAAATTATGACTGTAATCTTGGTGCAGGGAGACAGTGCATTCAGGTGTGCAGGTGTGAACATGTGTGTGCGGGCACACACGTGAATTCCTTGTGATATGGCTGATGTTATATCTCCATAATAACACCTCCACCGAGTTTGCTGCCTTTTCTCCAAATGTGTAACTAATGGCAAAAGGAGAGAACTCTGTACGGAGGAATGAAAGGAAACAGGAACTCAGAGGACTGGGGTGGATGCTTTCCTATCAAAGAATAGTCAGCGTTGCTTCTACCTCGGGAAAACTGGGAGGTCCTATATTTGCCCATTGTGGCAACGGTGGGAACCGCAGCGTGATGGACACGTGGGTATTGTTAAACGCCTAAACCCTCCTCACCCTGTTGCCATCTGATGCTTTGAGTTCTACAGTTACACAAACTGAGATTTCTTCATATATTTTCTTTCCTCTTACAGTGTAATGTGAATATAAAAGCCAACGTTTCATTTCCTGTATTCAGTGAAGTCACTCCTCTTTCCTCTCCTAAGTGTGTCTTAGCATTCTGCCAGATGAAGAGAGTAACAGTTCAGACCTATGCCTCCACATGGACCAGGATGAAGGGGCTGAAGGCCCCAAAGAATTGGGCCGTTAACATTCGATAGCATACCAGCTGGCTGCTCTGATGCCTGGAAGGATGTTAATGAACAGACAGGTTCATTCCTGGTTTCTGGTAGGAGAACAAAATAGGACAACTTCTGTTTCTAAGTGGTATGGATAACAGCTTCAGGGCATAAGATAATTCTGCTTCCTTCTCCTGTTTGGCACCTTCTTTTCTAGACTTATGACTCTGAATAGGTAGGGAGGTACGAACTTGGCTGTAATTGGTACTGTCCATAAATGTAAATGACCATTTCAGATGTGGGTACACTGCCAGCTATTACATTTTTCAAGTTGCCCTGACTATTGCTTTTTTTTAGACCGTTGGGATTTGTATTACATGTGGAATATTTTGGCTCCTGGGAGATGAATTCTACCTCAGGACCTCAAGCCTGTGAGAGGCTATGTTGTACCTCCTAGGATGTATGTTAAGGTGTTGATACATGATTTCAGAGGTTGATAGTTCACTAAAGTTACTGCAGGTGTGAAGGATTGCTTGTTTTTCCTCTGGTCTCTTCATCTGATATGGGTATTACAAGAAGCCACATGAGCAAAGCGTCTCTAGCTGTTCTCCTGGTTGCCCAGTGTCTCCTTCCAGTGATCCGGGCAGTCAGCCACCATCTTCAGTGCTTACTGGTCAGGGTCCAGTCCCAGTAAGATTTTTGGAAAGGGGATATGAAAAATATGCTGACTTTGATGCAAGGGGCCACTCTCCTGCAAGTAAGTGAAGCAACTAGTAGGGTCAGAGGGAGGAGATGCTCCATAACTGGGAAGAGTACCTGAGTGTGGGAAGAAGGAGACAGGCATAGCACAGGACCCACGGAGGAGAGAATGGGAAAGCTCAGGAGAAAATGGAGTGACTGGGAAACCCAGAAAGGCAGAAAGTGGATAAGAAGTTCTGCATGCACTAGATGGAAATCTAGATACCCACTTGGAGTATCTCAGTTTTGGGATGCTTACCCTGAGGGTCGCTGAGTTTGGCTTTCCTGAGAAAATGCTACATGCCCAAATTTTGTGATGGCTGCAGTGCTGAGCACATCAAATCCGGCGGAAAGGAGTTAAAGGGAATCAAAAGGGTGGCAGCACTACCTGAAGTGCTGACCCACATTTGGGGGTGCGTAAGACATCCAAGGAGCAGTTTGGCTTGTTGAAGCTGAACTGCTGTGCTGCAAATTGATGGATGCCTCTAAGGACCAGGCTCGGGGTGGGTGAGCAATGTCTCTCTGGCTTCTGGAGTAGGATGAGAACCCAGAATCAGGTGTCCTGCTGTGCTAATCACCAACAAATTTTCCCATGTATCTATGAAGGGTGTTTTTGTGCACCACGGAATTAGTGACTGACATAGCCTGGGGGAGGATGTGGTCATGAACCACAGCAACATGCTCTACCTGAGCTTGGAGATGTGAACACAGCCATTACCTCAACGAGAAGCTTAGTGGCACCTTTAGGTGGTATGGGTCTTGTGGTGGTGTTGGCTTCAGACCTAGCAGCCAAATCACTCTGCGGTGAGTGTTACAGTCCTGCTGTGTGGCTTTCTGGAGTCCCACTTCAGCGTTCGCCTCTCGCCCCTCCCTGACATCTCTGGATCTCCCTTGCTGTTCTTCTCCAGTTTTGCCAACTGTGTACCATTGCAAGCTGCTGGCCCAGCAAGATCTGCATGGAGGCTGAATGGTGGCAGCTGGCATCGCCTCTTAATATAGAAGTGAGGGGTGTGGCTGCACAGGCAATGTGGTGCAGATCAGTTTGGGAACAGGCTGTGTGCTAAAAAAGAGTTTAGTTGCACTTTGCAAAGGCTTATGGGCTTAATACAGAGTCTGAGGTGCAGCGTTAAGTACACAGAGGGAAATACAGTGATTTCTTAAGGGCTTCCAGGAGCAAGCACGGGTAGGGTATAGCAGCCTGGGTGCCTACTCAGAGATGAATTGTGGTAGGAGGTGAGCAGGGCGAGTAGACGTGGCTGGATGGGATGCAGCTCACGTGGAGGCACCTCAGCTATCTGTAACACTGCTAGCTCAGGTAATGTGAAGACCGGAGCTGTGGCAGCATGAAATGTCTGCGTGGGCTGGAAAATTGTCCTGCAAACCATTGCGGTCTCTGCTATGCTGCTTGAAGCTTGCTCGTTTAAAGCCAGTACAGGATGAGCTCAGTCACAGCAGCGATTGCAATGTAGACATGCCCTGTATCCTCTTATAAACCTCAGGAGCCTTTCCATCCCTCCAAAAAGCTGGTTTTAAAGGATTTCTCAATAGTTAATCACGTGCATGAATAAATCATAATTGTGATTCAAATAATCCTGTGAATGAATAATTCATTGTAATAATTGAAAAAGGAATCTCAGCAAGAAGCATTTTACTACTGCAAAGGTAAACACTGGTTCATCTTTTTTAAAGAGAAGGTACGTTCTCCAGCAAAGTATTTTTCATCTGGTTGCCATACCCTAATTATGCATGATATGAAAGAAAAATATGCTTCCTCGTGCGACAGCCATCTTCATATAAATGAAAAAGACATGCTTCCTTTTGCAACAGCCATCTTCAATGCTAATGAGTGAGAACAGAAAAAGGATTAAGTGACATTTAAATCACATTCACCCCTTTCCTGAGGACAGAGCCAAACAAGGCAGCAATAGTCAGCTGGTCAAAATGTCCAGAGCCTGAAGTAACTGAGTATTGCCAGCTAGTTAGAGAGGAATTGGGAGAAGTGGTAAAGAGGGGAGTGTTTTCTTCTAGATTTGTGCTGCTAAGAGAGAGTGTAGGCTAAGCATATGGCTCGCAGCCAGAAAAGGCATCAGATACTATGATGATAAAAGCCTGGTTAATAATATTTAGCACCGACAAAGGGCTTTCAAGGGAAAGACAGACTTTCATCCTGGGAAGCACGGAAGATGCCTCACCTGTTAGCCCCATTGTTGGAGGGCAAAAGTACCCTGCCATGAGTTCCTCTACGCTTTCAGATGCCAGGTGTGACATGGATGGAGGAAGCCACAGGTTTCTAAAGCCGAAAGAGCTGGCAGTCTAATTGCCTGTGAAATGTAGTTTTGGCTCCCAGGGAGTCTCTGTGGCGGTAAACAAACAACAACAACAAAAAAATGAGCACGCTCACCTGTTTGGTACCTGGGAGAAGGGGCAAAGTCTATCCACCCCAAAGGAGAGGAGAGAAAGTGTATTTACCTGTGCCTTTCCCCATTTGCACGCTTCACCGTGTGACAGGTCGTCTCCGTCTGCGGACAGTCCGATGACACTGTCGCGCTCGCACCGGTGGCAAATGCCGTTTATAAGCGTGGAGTGACTGGCTCAAGGTCAGCCACAGCCTGCGGCAGGGACGGAAACACTACCGGGGGCTGCGTGGGTGGGGTCCCACGGCTGAGCTCGGAGCGCTGCCCGGAGCCGGAGCTTACTCGCCCGTCCTCGTCAGGGTTTTTGGCTGAGGGGACAGGGCCAGGGGCAGGTTTTCACGAGGGAGGGGTGGGGGGAAAAGAAGGGCGGGGACGGTGCCACCCCTTGGGCGAGCTCTTGCGAAGCGCCTGGCCGGGGAGCCGCAGTCCGCAGCGGGATCCCTTGGGGGGTACCCCACTCCCCACCCCCCCCCCCCCCACCCCCCTTCAACAGCCGGACGCCGGGGCGGGGGGCGAGGAGGGGAGCGAGCCCCAGCCTCCGCGCACGTCCCCGGGCGCGGGTGTGTGTCTCGCCGCGTGGGTGCGTGCAGCGGTCTTGGATCTGAGCGCGTCCGTGCAGGCGCCGCCTGGCTCTGCGTGTCCGGCTCCGTGCGTGCCTCTGCTCCCGGGTGCGTGTCTCCGCGCGCGTCTGCGTGTGCCTGCGAGTACCTCGCTGCCTCTCCCTCTGCGCGACCGCGCGCGTGTGTGCGCGTGTGTGTGTGTGTGTGCGCGCGGGTGCTCGTACGCTCCCCCCCGCCCTGCATCTCCCCCCGCCTCCCCTCCCCTCCCGTGTCTGTGTCTGTGCGCGGCGGGGAGGGCAGAGCCGGGCGTGCCCGTCCAAGCAGCTCGGTGCCCAGCACCCCCGCGACCGGGACCGGGGCCGGAGCTTCAGCCGCTCCGGGAGCCCCGCGGAACCGCCCGGACGAGCGCGGCCGCCCGGAGGTGCAACAGGAGGCGGGCGGATGGCGGCGGGCGGCGGGCGCTGACGGGCCGAGGGGCTGAGGCGGCGGCGGGTGGGAGCGGGGCGGGATGCGGGCGGAGGAGCCGCTGGCGCTGGCGGCCCCGCGGGCGGGCGGTGGCGGCGAGGCGGAGGCGGAGGCGGCGGGCGAGGAGCGGAGCGGCGGCGGCGGCGGCGGCTGCTGCAGCAGCGAGCGGTTGGTGATCAACATCTCGGGGCTCCGGTTCGAGACGCAGCTGCGGACCCTCTCCCTCTTCCCCGACACGCTGCTGGGGGACCCCAGCCGCCGGGTGCGCTACTTCGACCCGCTCCGCAACGAGTACTTCTTCGACCGCAACCGGCCCAGCTTCGACGCCATCCTCTACTACTACCAGTCCGGGGGGCGGCTCCGCCGGCCGGTCCATGTGCCCCTCGACATCTTCCTGGAGGAGATCCGTTTCTACCAGCTGGGCCAGGAGGCCATCGAGACCTTCCGGGAGGATGAGGGCTTCATTCAGGAGGAGGAGAAGCCCCTGCCCCAGCACCACTTCCAGCGCCAGGTCTGGCTGCTCTTTGAGTACCCCGAGAGCTCCGGGCCGGCGCGAGCCATCGCTATCGTCTCCGTGCTGGTCATCCTCATCTCCATTGTCATCTTCTGCCTAGAGACCCTGCCCGAGTTTCGCCAGGAGCCCAAGGGCACCCAGCCTGGCTTCGGGGAGGCGGCGCTGCCTGGTGAGGAGGCGCTGCTGCTGCCACCGCTGCCACCACCGAGTGGGACTCCGCCACCCCTGCGCCCTGCCATTGGTGCCGGCCCCTTCTTCACCGACCCCTTCTTCCTCATCGAGACCCTGTGCATCATCTGGTTCTCCTTTGAGCTCCTCGTCCGCTTCTTTGCCTGCCCCAGCAAGCCCGAGTTCTCCCGCAACATCATGAACATCATTGATATCGTGGCCATCATCCCCTACTTCATCACCCTGGGCACCGAGCTGGCACAGCAGCAGCAGCAGAAGCAGCAGCCCGGCAGCAGCAGCAACAATGGGGGCCAGCAGCAAGCCATGTCCCTGGCCATCCTCAGAGTCATCCGCCTGGTCCGGGTCTTCAGGATCTTCAAGCTCTCCAGGCACTCCAAGGGGCTGCAGATCTTGGGGAAGACTCTCCAGGCCAGCATGAGGGAGCTGGGCCTCCTCATCTTCTTCCTTTTCATCGGGGTGATCCTCTTCTCCAGTGCTGTCTACTTTGCAGAGACTGATGACCCCGACTCCCTGTTCACCAGCATCCCTGATGCTTTTTGGTGGGCGGTGGTGTCCATGACCACTGTGGGCTACGGGGACATGTATCCCATGACAATTGGTGGCAAGATTGTGGGCTCCTTGTGTGCCATCGCGGGTGTGCTCACCATCGCCCTGCCTGTCCCTGTCATCGTGTCCAACTTCAACTACTTCTACCACCGAGAGACTGATCACGAAGAGCAGTGCCAGTACACCCATGTCACCTGTGGCCAGCAGCAGTCACCCTTCTCTGAGCCCAAGAAGGGGGACAGTAATCAGTCTCTCAGCAAATCTGAATTCCTGGAAGCAGAAGACCTGGAGTCCATGAAATATTCCAACTTCATTCCTCCCAACAACCAGGGTTATAAAGAGAAGAAAATGCTGACAGAGGTGTGATCAGATTTGTTATCCTGGGTTCAGACACGGAGCTGCAAGTTGCTGCACAGCCGTCTTCCTGCTAGCAGCTGGATCTATTCAGCATTTAAACGCCAGACTGTGAATTGTGATACCGTAAACAGAATGATTGTGATAATGGGCTTTTCTGTCCCGATTTGTTGTTTCTCATTACTGTGTGCAGCCATAAATGTTCTTGCTTTAGTCGGTGGAGTGCTAGCTGTCATCCCCCACTCCCTTGTGAATTTCTTTCTCTTTTTGAAGACTGATTTAATCCAATATTTGCTCTGAAACCTATCCTTTCTACTCCACTAGCAGAGAAGCCCTTGCCACTACTTCAGCTGAAGGATTCAGCAGGGAGTAAACAGTTAAAGGGGCTACAAACATCTGGCTTAAGCTGTGCCCTTAGTTCCTGCGCCAGCGCAGTGCCCTTGGCTGTGGGATCAGTCACGCCTGCCATGCCATTGCCTTTGAATAATGGAAATGCTGTAGCCAGCATCACAGTGAGTTCTGAAGCTGTAGGGGAAAGTCAGCAAGCAGATGCCTGCCTTCTTTGCAACCCTTGGCATGCTAAAGATCCTCTTGGTTTGTGTTTCAAAAAAAGGTGCATATATCTAAAAGCTCTTTGCTATTTGTGACTATATAGCGCTTGTCAAAAACAGGCTTATAGAAATCAACAGGCTTGGTGAAGATTCTGTGTTTTGAGCTTATTTCAGCCTTATTTATGCCAGTGCCCTGATGTTAATTGGCTTTTACAGTACCAACTTAATCTCCATAGTGGTAAGTGCCTTCTGATGCAAGGCACATTTGAGTAAATTCATTTGTTGTCTCCACAGTTTATCTCAGCACAATAGCGTTTAATGAGATGTACTTTATGCTTCAGATACCCAGTTCTGTATTCAGGCATGTGAGAGCAAATGACTCCACTGCGTTTTTATTGAAGCATTTGTATAGCTGATGGGAGTTTGCACGCTGGTATTTTGTTGACATTGCTGAAAAATCCTGACCACAGACGACTGCACTTGTACTGTCTGAAGATTGCACTGATTTAGCAGGTCACAGGCATAAATTGCCCCAGGGTAAGTGTGTCAGCATTTGAGATTTAGACTGGCATGGATACAAACTTCCCTAAGCCATCTGCACAAACCCAACAGCATATCCCAGACCTTTCAAGGGAGGGGAGAAACAGCTAGCCTTGAAGAGATGCTTTTGCCAAGGGACCAGAGATTTGCATCTTAAAACGCACATTTTGCTTCCCAGATAATTTAATTTTTTTTAATCAGCTCTGCCTTACATCTGACTTTAAAACGTTTCAAATGCTGCCAGTGGATGAGAAGGAGAAATGGATGCTTTCAGATTCTATTGGTAAATTTTCCTACAAGGAAGAGTCTGTCTTGTATTAAATCTAAGTGTATATTCTGCATTCACATGTGTGCATGTGTATGAAAGCAAAGGCAGTCATTAATGCCTTGCATCATACTGTATGATATGCATATTAGAATGTACTACATATTGCATGTGACACATGTAATACATAAACCAGACATAATATCAAGACGCAAAATATATAGAATACATATTATGTATATGTATATACTATGCTTTTGGACCATAAAGCTAAAAATGCTAAAGGCATATACTTTAATATAGTCGGAGCCGGCTGTAGAACTGGTTGTGAGATGGGATCTGTTTGCATCTTCATTACCCTGTTTGTGTTTCATTGTCTTGAGATCTGGCTCCGTGCCTAGAGTGCTTTTATTGTGGCCTCTCCTCATCTGGGCCCTGGTCATATGGTAGAAGCTGTTTGTGTAAATCCTAACTGCTGCCTCTCTCCAGAGTCCCGTTGTCTTCTCAAAGGTTTTTAATGTGCAGGGTCAGTGCACAACCATCATATTTAAAACCTCTGTTCTCTCTCACTGAAGTTGCTAGCAAAATGCCCCTTGTCTCAGTGACTGCAGGTCAGTCTGGGAGGCACAGGTGGGATGTGGTGAGGGCTCTATAGCTGAGAGGAGTTTGCCTGAATGCGTAGGAGCCTCATCCTCCTTTGGTTCGTCGGGACTGAGGCAACTGCCTGTGCAGGTCTGGGCCTTGGGAGCCGTTCTACATCCCTCGAAGCACGTAACCAGCTGGTGGGTAAGTAATCCTGGTGACTGAGCGGGACCAAGGAGGGATCAGCACGGTGGCATCTCTGTTGATTTGTGTAAAAAGTTGTCTTGGTCATTGAGTTAATTCACTAAAAAGCTGTTTTTGTTCTTAGGTGTGTTTCAGGGTCACTATAATGGAGTCTTTTCTGTGAGTGCAAGAGGGTGACTCTTCTTCCAATTTTGTGTTGTTCTAGCAGATGTACTAGAAACTAGCAAGAGAACCTGCTGTTTAAGAGGGATGTTTCAAGGCTGCTGCTGTCTCTTAGCAGAATGCCCATGTATGGGGTTATTTTATGCCTGACTATATCAGCTGATGAAAGTTTCCCCAAAGTAAGATATAAAAAACTCAGGTTAAGCACAAGTTCAGGAGGAGGCATGAGGCACACTGAGCCTACGTCAGAAAATTCCCGTGATTGTTTCTTCCCTTGGGCCTGACCCCATTGCTCCTGCCAGGCAGGAGCCTTCCCTTCTTAGAACAGGTTGTTCTCCCGACCAGCATGACCGACGGCTGGGCATGGAGAGTCCAGCAAAAAAAAAACCCAAAGCTGTGAGAGAAATTACTGGTAGCATAATCTCAGCATGTCTTGTAAAGATGCTCTCGTGAAGAGATTTCCTGCTCTCAGGTGAAATCCAGCAGTGAGTTTCTAGCTTGAGTGTTGTCTGCACGCTGACATGTGCACGCATGCTCATGCATACACAAAACACCCGTCTGAAGGAGCTTTGCTGCAAACAGACAGCTTTGTACAGTTTTTGCAAGTCACATTTTTCAGTTCTGAAAAGAAAATGCAAATGGAAATGTGTAAAACACGAGTGGTGTTTGCTCCCTGCATTTTCTGTGTTAGAGCGAAGAGAAATATAAAAAGCCAACAGAAACTTGGAAGCTGTAACCTAGGGACTTAGGTTTAGGCGTGTAAATCCCTCCCTAAGCATCTCCTGAAAAGCAACGCGGTGACATCCCAGAGTCATCAATACTATATCTTATAGAACTTCTGGAATTTGACTTTTTTTATTAAGGAGCCTTCAGAATTTTTTTAAGTGACTGAAGTGACATAGCGGTACCCGTGCCATTGACTTTACAGAGGACTCCTGTCGCCAAATCATGGAGATGATTTCAAAAATCTTACCTCGGGTTCTTGGCTCTTAGCACTTGCTCCTGGATGTTCGAAATACAAATCTGTCTGTCTAGCTATTGCCTTCTGAAGGCAGAGCACATCCTCGTGAAGCAAAGTAGGCACCTCCAGGGACTTGTTTCCATAACAACCTCCCAGACTGTTTCTCTCTGCCCTGTGACTTTGGCTACAAGCAAAAGCACTCGTTGAATGTTTTCAGTTCTCGGATATTAGTACCTTATCTTTACAGCTGGTTTCTTTCCTTACCGAAGACGACCCTGTCTTGGGTACATGTACAACTGTCTGCCCAACTCCAGACAGCCAGTTACCATTATTTGAAAGCAAGTGAGTGCAAACCGGGAGGTGGGAAGGGATTTTACCTGTATATCCTTGCACACAGAGAGGTGGGAAGTGTGTGAAGGACAATCTGAGCACTCGGTCAAGGAGCTGAGGGGCAACTGGCCTGTGAATGAGAGTCATCTAGGAGCCCAGTGACAAGGAACACAAGCTAAAGCAGCACATTAAAAAAACAAAAAAAAAAAAAAACAAAAAACCAGAACCTCCTCTTTCAGCTATCTCACTAGAAAATAATTTTGCTCCTGCTCTTTGCTATTGCTAGTGTTTAGAAGAGACTATTCCTCCTTCCTGAATCCTTGCCTGTTCCGTGACAATCAGTTCCCCACATAATGTTCCCACAGGATCTTTTGCACCAAAGCAGGACAGGGCAGAAATCATCTTGTTGGAGGTGGGGAAGGAATGAACGGAAGAATTTTTCTGAGGACATGTTTTTTAATCTGCAACTCATCAATCACAGAAAAGACTGTAAGCGTGGAAGGCATGAAGAGCTGTTTTGTGATATTTCAAAGTCTACATTACTGGTGGATTCCTGCATTTACCTCCAAGATGAAATCCCTATTCTGTTCCTGCTTAGAAAATGTTGCAATTTGGGATTTCTAAGCGTTTTTTTTTTGGTTTGGCCCTGTTCCTTTTGATTCAGCTTTCATGGATAAAAATTCACTGCTACAGCAGCTGTGGAGGTGAAGGTGACTGGATTTGGTGTCCTCCTCTAGGCCCTCTCATTCAGCGTAGAGAGATCCCTATGGAGATAAAGAAGAATGAGCATAAAGGAAATTCAGGGCAGCAAGAGACAGGGTAAGGACTGAAGTGTCTTCCATATTGTGATGGAAAGAACAGCATCAACCCTAAAAGCAAAGGAAAAAACAGTTCCAGTGTCTGCTGCTATAGCAGAAATAGGTAAGGTTTCTTTTTCTTTTGTGAAATTAATAACAAAGAGTTTCTTGCAATTAATGAGGAAGGATTTCCTAATTAAGATTTGCAGCCTAAAGGGAGAATCTGGTTCTAGGTGAAGAAAGAAAGATAATTATAAGCTACAAAAATATAGTATGAGCCAGATCCTCACCATCTGCTGATTCAAGCTGGCAAAACTCCATTTAGTACAACTACCTTGGTTTATACTGGGTTCCAACTTCAATCTTCTACATCAAGTCAAAACATATGTACTATTTGTTAAAATGCTTATTTTTATTTGTTCTTTTCTTAAGGTCCTGTTTACACCAGGGAAAGATCTGCAGATTACAGCAGGAGTTAACCACGGCTTTCCCAAAAGCTCTCATCTGACTTGAGTCCAAGTAAGTCTACCAAACTCAGCAAAGTTAAGCTTCTCTTTAAGTTTATATTGACAAAAACAAGAGCAGTGGCATTTTGTTTGTTTTTCTCAGCGGTGGAAATGTGCAGATAAATTCATAGAGAAGTTTAAATGAGATTCTGCCTTCAGCTGCAGCCCAGCAAGCACAAGATAGCCCTATTTACATTGCTGTAACTGAAAGTCCAGGCTAAGCTCTTCATCTCTGCTCTTTGGAGCTCGCACTCTAGACAAATCCTATTCTGAAGACATATTTTGTAGCCATATTATCAGCAGGCTCACAGTCCAATCCCTGACTTGCAGTCGTCTGCTTTACACATAAAGTTAAGGGGGGGAACAGGTGCTTGCAGGATGAAAAGACTTAATTCTCTGGTAAAACGAACCAGTGAATGCTGAGTGTCCTTAGCTGCCACCAGAGACAGTTGGGGATGAAATTGCCCGCCTGTTACAAGAAGGAGCTCTTCTTGTGCAGGATCAGTTCCTAAGTGAGGCAGGGAGATAAACTCAGGAGAATGTTTTCTGCGGAAAGAAGACAGGAACTGCAGTCACCTTGATTCCCAGAGTAGCTTATGCTGTTAGTGCATGTCAATTCTATACGCCTTGCCCGACTGGCTGGGTTTTCACTTGCTCCAGGGGAGTCTGTCTGGAGCTTGTTGGCTGGCACAAGAGCTTGGATGCTACAGCATAGTTCTACACTCTGAGAAACACATAACTGTCATCAGTGTGAATTTTACATTCTTAATCCTTCACTGGTAAACATTCACCACTGGAATTATCCATGTTGTCTGTAGTGCAATTTAAGAGGGGCTGAAGCAATATATTGAACTTTTCTGTGTACTTCTTCTTAGTGAAAGAAAGGGAAGGATTCACAGGAGGCAAAGTGCTCATCAACTTCCATGCTCACCCTAAAATACTGAAGCCATGTTGCCTATTCATTAGAGATAAGACTCATAGGAAACCTCTGTCATCATACAAAATATCATTGAAAATCCAGTAAGTCCTTCTGTGGTTTCAGTTTCACTAAACGGGTATAAAGATACTTGTTCAGTGGTGCAGTTTTGGAAGCCCTTAGTTAAAAAATGCTATAAATCATAAATGTACCAAAATTACCAATTAAATTACTAAATTTAATTGGTATTGTAGCCACCATTGTTTGTTTAAGTAAAACTGAGGTCTCAATTCTGGTCTCAGCCTGATGTTAGATAAATGTATCCTTAAGGATACGAATGATGTGACTCCTAATTTAAGTGAGAGAAGAATCAGGCCCAGAGAAGAGGGCTGTAAATGCAGATGTCTAGAATAGATCTCTTTAGGTGTTATAGATAAACATTGGTCCATTCACCTAAAAGGTTGTATACAATTTTACACCAACAGAAGATTTAGCTTTTAGAGTTGATATTGGTTTATTCTCTTACATTCTCTAGAGAGAAATTAAATAGTATTTTACAAGAAAACTGGAACATTACAGTCTCCTCTTGCTGCTTGTTGATGCATCTGTTGTTTTCAATTAGCTTGATGGCATCCATTTTCAGGAAACAGATGCTGCCCTCTTTTACATGGGTGCAATTCTGGAATAACTCCACTGACGTCAGTGAAGTGACTCCAAATTTATCCCCAGTGAAAGCAGAATTGGACCACAGACTTTTTGTTTGCTTATCTGCTGCGGTGCTCTCAGGAAGGTGCACCATTAGCATACCATAAGGGGAAGGTGAGCGCCTGTCTGCTGTGCCACGCTCAGCTCTTTTGTGTCCCTGTCATCACAGCCACGTGCCTGGCTGGAGCAGAAGTCAGGCTGGTCTGGGGGGTGTGTGGCCACCAGATTCCCCATGTTGAATGGAGCAGTTGCTGGTCCTAGATTCTTGCCCGCTTTCCCATTTCAATTTCCATCAGCCTCCACTTGCTTGGGTTTGTTTTCCAAGGAGACAGAGATTTTTAAGCTAAAGAAATGTAATTGCAAGTCTTAAGTAATATAATGACAGAAGGGTAGCAGAGGTAGACATGGAGACAAACTCTACCCCTCCTACTGTTTTTTTGCTGTTATGGCTATGTGAAAATCGTTGCAGTCCTGGCAGGTTGGCTATACATCTGCTGGCTTCAGAGTCTCTATTTTCAGGGAATGCTAAGTTTAAACAAATTGAGCTACTTCTCTCCTGCTCTAGCTCGGCTGATCTCAGTCATGCCTTCCCTGAAGCTGGACAGAAAGCTTCGTATAAAAGCCATTAATGTGCTGTATGGAAAAATACCACTTAGGATGGAGCAGATGAGGGTAAACAGAAGAAACAGAGGCCATAAAGAAAGAGTAAATAGGAAGTGTGAGACAGGAGGGAGATTCTTACAGGAGTTCCTCAAGGATTAGTCCTGGGATTATTTAAAATATTAGCAATAATGCTGAGACTATGAAATTTAGCAATGAAGCAACCTAAGTGTCATCATCAAGACTATGGATTAGGACACAGAACTAGATGACTGAATAATTGCCTTGAAGAAATGGAAAGATATGCACAGAAATTAAAATCGTGATGGGGTTTTTGGTGGCAAGCTTATCAGTTAGGGAAGACAGACAAAAAGAAGGATTGTGGGTGCTAAGATCAGCCAGAGTGCCAGTGTCACTTACTGAGCCACCAGAGTAATGCAGCCATAAAAACTGCAGGTGTGAGTCTTTGAAAGGCTCAGAAGGAGCACGTTCAGTACCACCTGGGAAATGTTAATTCTGTAAGGCCTCATCTGGAATGCTCTGTGCATTTTTGGTGACCTAAATTTATTCAGGAAGGATGTATGGAAGAACAGCAAGAATGATCAGGTGAATGGAAACTGCTTTGCAAGAGGTAGCTGGAAGAGCCTGAATTTTCTAGGCCAGCAAAAGGTTGACAAGACGTATAGTTACAAAAATACCAGGGGCAGAGTAGTCAAAAGAGGTAAGAGCTCTTTAAGCTAAAAAGCAATGTTGGTCTTTGAACAATAGAGCATAAACCAGATGTCAATAAATTTACCCTGGAAAGAAGAAGGTGATTTGTAATATAACAGTCAAAGAAGGAGAAATGAAAGCTCATTGCAGGTTGAATAGGAGAAATTAAGGCAAAAAAAAAAAACAGTTTTTTTTTTCAGATAGACTTTTCTAAATTTATGAAAGGGATAATATGGAAGTAGTTACATGTAATTGAAATAGCCTAAGTTCAGTGACTTTGTCTACTAGAATTTTCTCCTACACCTGAGATGTATTTGAGATGCTAAACATGAGAAATTGTAAGATCCTCCCTTATTTCTTCTGTCCTCCAGCTCATTTGCCATACTGCACCCATTGAGCTACAAAATGCCAAACCCTGTTGTCTTTGTTACTTAATACTTTGTGTGTGTGGATAGGAAAGAGAACTAGAGGAGGAGCTTTGAGTCTTGGAAAATGTTTTTTCTCTATGGGACTGGGGGAAGAGAAAGAAGTCCTAGGAGTGGGGTGGGATGAGGCAGGGGATACCAGATCACTCTAGGAGCTACTCTGGGGGCAAAGAAGAAGTTCGTGCCCTTTAAAAAAACACTAATCTCTGTTCGCTGCTCTCCCCCTCAACCTGGAATCTCTGCTGATGTTGTCTGGTCCTTTCTCCCTATCCAAAGCTCTCTAGCTCTATGCTGACCTTCCTCCTTCCTGGGGTCTCTGGTAATTCCTCACTACCGTGAGCTCCTCAGAATCATTGGAACAGTGCATTGCACCTAGATTTGAGAAAAGCCTTGAGCCAGCTCTGCTGCAGCTCAGCCAGGTTATTTGTTTTGGATGCAGAAATCAACAGCAATGCATAATCTTCAACAACTTTAGTTGAATGGAAGGTCAGAGCAGTTGATAACAACGGCCACTCTAACCTGAAGAGTAGTTTCCTATTCCAGTCACTGTTCTGACAGAGACAGAATAAAGCTTCATTAAGAAGAAGGAAACTCTCTTACCTCTTTCAGTTCATTTCATCCTGTGGGAAAGTCACAAAATATCCCCTTAAGCTCATCAGATAGAATAGGCATTGACCAACATGGGAACTTCACCCATCCATCTAACTCCATGTCACAAAAGCACCAAATAGAATTCATCCTTCTACTTTGTCCTTGAGCCTTCTAGATTGTTGCTGCTCTTTGTTCACTTCTGTCAGGTAACCATCATCTTGTGATTTGTATCTATGTTTTGGCTAGCTAGTTCTGCTCTTCAACTTTCAAACAGCTCTGATTTTTCTTCTTTAAGTAGAAAAAAAAAATAAAAAAGCAAAGCAAAGGATATTTTACGAATAACCATGCACATTATGAAAGCATGTGAATACGGACACTACTTGAGCTTTATCAATGACCTTAGAAGGATGGTGCACACAAATCCAGTTGTCCGTAAATTGTTTTAAGGGCTCATCTCAAGTACTTGGCATAATTTCCTGAGTTATGGCAATAAACCAGATTAGAAAGGAATTACAATGAATATAGAATCAGCCAATGAGTTTCATTTGAACCGTGAAAACAGTGTCGCATCTGTTTCTGAGTTCAATTCACTTTGATGGAAGAAACCACCCTCAGCATATGTTTATGTGCTTCTTAATTTACTGTTACAGCGTGTGCTCTGCCATTGCTTGCAGAGCATTTGGTCCTGAGGTGTATAACATATTAATGGTGAAGATCCTCTGCAGCAATCACCACACAAACACAAAGCAAAAAGCTGGTCAAAGGGCTTATACGGTTAAAGGTTAAAATTGTATATACATCTTTGGAGCTTGAAGAAATTTCAAGTGGTGAGAGAGCATTATTGCATTTAGATTTTATAGTAGGAACAGAATAAGGCACAGTTAGCTGTGGAGAGTGGTAGGAAAGCAAGGGCCTAAATGAACAGAACCCATAACTCCTTTAGTACTACAGAACAAATCTTCATATGTTTGGCCCCGGCAACCATGTTTTTCAGCAAGGAGGTGTTGACTTTGACAGGGAGTACAGTTAAAAAGTACAGGAGCAAATCCTACAAGTAAATTATGT